ACACTTGAACCTTGTCACCAATTCTAAATTAGCTTTTTGTTTCGTTTCATTTTTGGAGGATAGGAATATATACAGTGTCCTGATTGTTATAGATTATATTATTAAATTGCTAAAATTAATTATGAGACCTATGCTGTTTTTACTTGCATGTATATGTGTATGCGTATGCAGTATATATTTATAAAATCTACAGATGTACACTATGTTGATGCTTAAAAACTCCAATTGTGGCAATTTAAGGACTTTTGTTGTTAATAATGGCTTAATACTTAAAACTGAACAGAGTCCTTCACAAGGTAAATTAACCAGGGAACTATGCCAATTTTGACTTTATTTCCATCCCATTGAATGACTAAATTCATTCTCTTTAGATTTAAAGCTCTTTCTACTGTTCCTCAACACTTCTTACAGAATTCCAGCTTGCTTTTCACCTTTTAACAGTTTAACATAGATGGCTGGATCAAGTCCATTGTTCCAATTGTATGTAGCTTAAAAAGCTCTGCAGTATTTTACTCTTTCCATTGTATCCAGCTTCCCTGAGTGCTCTGCTCACTGCATTTTACTCGTATTCTCTCTGTTTTCTAAACCCATTTATGCCTTTTCTTTCTGAAGACACTTGTTCATCTGGAAGCTCAAATTGACTTCTCCCCATTCTATTTCCTTAACTAAAAATGTACCATTAAGGTTGATTGAACTCTTTTAAAGCACTTCATAAAAAAAAAAATTGGAAGGCCATAAGAAAGTAGGCTACCAGTGTTTGTAAATACCTGTTTTCAGCCAGATTGATAGGAAGGAATAAAAAATAATTGGAAACTTTAAAATGTTAGTGATATATTTTTTTACAAATTAGTCTTTTTGGGTTGTTCTTTGAGAAACATACTTGTGAAACACTGAGGGGAGGGGAAGGAAGAGGAGGAGCATTATGGTTATAATTAAAGATGGAACAAATAATAAAGCCAACCTGCTAAAATTACCTAAAACATGTTCTGGGAAAAAAATAATGACTTACAAAATAAGGAAAATGTAAAACATGCAGGTCCACAACTAAAACCTACAGCTTTTAAGCCACATTTTTTTCTACTTAAAATATAGGTATTGTTATTTAAAAATAAATGTTAACCATAAATGGTATAAGACCCTAAACCATAAATGGTTTACAAACATAGTAAGATCATCACTAATCTTTTTTCCTATTTCTAATGTCTAAAAATGGAACTCTGCTGGTGTGAAAGATCTTTAAATATTTGGAAGTTAATTAGAATTATAATATTAAAAACCAGATGAAAATAAAGAATACTACTGGTGAAAAACACATTTTTATTTTAATGTTTGATCAAAATGTAATTAATTTTTAAAAAGCTACCAAAATATGTTATCCCGATGGGACTTTCTCAGAGCATGGGTAAGCACTTTTTTATTGCATTTTTTAACTCTTTGATTTGAAATAATTTTAAATTTATAGAAGAGTTGCAATAATAACAGAGTTCCATATACCCAAACTTCTTTAATGTTAACTTATTGCACAATCATGGTATAGTTATCAAAACCAAGAAATTAACATAAATGCAATACTATTAATTTAAGTCTTTATCCAGTTTTTTTACTAATGCCCTTTTTCTGTTCTAGAATCCAACCTAGAATTCTACTGTTGCATTTAGTTGTCATGCCTCTCTGATCTGCTTCAATTTGCAACAGTTTCTTCGTCCTTCCTTTGATCATGACTGATTCTTTTGAATGATAATGGTCAGATGTTTGATAGAAACCTTCTGAGTTTGGGTTTGTCTAAGGTTTTATCATGATTAGGTTAAGGCTATGGATTTGGGGGAAGGATGTCACAGAAGCTATGTACTCTTCAGTGCATCCTATCAGAGGGGTACATGATATGTATCGATACATCTTAATATTTGGCAATATTAACCATGATCACTTGGTTAAGTAGGGCTGCCAGTTTCCTTCATTGTAAATTTACTGTTTTGTGGAAGTACTTTTACTTTTAATGATACGGTATAAGCAAAAACCTATTCTAGTTTTAAAATTGGCATTTTATGTAGAAAATGATAATGATGAATTGGCTTTTGACTGACCTAAAAGAGAATATAGTTAAAGAAAGGCCTTATAAATAAAACACAAATGATAAATAATTTGATTTCAGGTAAGTCACACTTTCAAAGCCACTTCTGAATTTCTTTGAATACACTAATCTATTTTTAGGTTACAGCATTTCATATTTTTGGTACAAAATCACTATTTTAATTATACGGGAAAATCATGACCAAAACAAAATTTTAAGATAAAAAATGCACAATTTGGGTCTGAGAAATGTCTTTTCTGTAGTTTACAAAACAATTTTATTCATGAAAGAAAAAGTAGTAATATTATAAATTTTTTAAGTAAAAATTTTTTAAGATATAATTTAAATTTTTATAACAAAAATTTATAGAAATATTATGCATAAATAACTGAATATTTCTAGCTGACCTAGTTCTAAAAGGCAACTGTGAAATAAAATTGCAATTCAGTATAGGTCTTTCTTTAAAAATATTTCAATAATGGAGGAAATTGCAGAGAGGTGAACAAGGAAAGTAGTTAAGAACGTGAGGTCATCCAGAATCTCTTAAGTTATATAGCAGAAGAATAAAAATACCAGCTCGTTTCTATCCTCACAAAAAACTGATTTGATTAGATTCCTTGAATAAGCAACAAAACTTGGCCTCAAGTACTTCGTTCTTCTCTTATAGAGCTATAGTTAACTTCTTTTTATGTAAGCAAGATTTAAGTGAAACTAAGAGCCCACAGTAAGATCTAATGTTTTAAAATATTAAACACTTCTCACAATTTATGATAGATTATAAATAAATAGTGAGATGACATGTTACTTAAATATAAGGATTATTTTAAAACTAGTCATGAGTGCCTACAAACACACATAGAGAGTACACACAAAATATTGTAGGCAAAAATATGTTCACAACCATAGTTAATTCTGTTACCAGAGAAATCCAGAACTATAAAAATAGAAGTAAATAATACAATTCTTATTGAGTACTTAATTATAGTCAATTTTCATATACAGAAATCAGATCACCTCGACATCATACATATATTCAGTTCAGCATTGCAGGCTCCTAATCTATAAAATACCCTGATTTTTAGCTTTCCATGTTGTTTGTGTAATTGTCCTTTAATTTAAAACAAGTCATATAATCATGCATATGACTTCATGAAAAATAAATCTATCAAGACATTTGCTGGGATCATAGAACTAATCTTAATGCACACATTACACATTTTCCCTAAGCTAAATACACTGGATGAGAATGAATAGTTCACAGTTTTTGCATGCATTAGGGCTCCACGAAAGCTGATTACATAGTACAGTATTAATAATTAAATGTCAATTCACTTGTAATCGTAAAAGCAATGAATTTGGAATTGAAAAAATCTAGGATTTGGTGCGATATCTACTCTTTTCCTTAAGCCAGTTTCTTTATCTAGAATGGAGACAGAACATGTCAAATCTACTTCATAGGGTTGTTACTAGGATGCACCATGTAAAATATGGGCCAGTGGTTTGTAAATTAAAGTACTACCTGCTTGTTTTGTTGTAATCAGTTGTGAAGTTTGTTAAAAATAATTTGTAAGCATTACTTAAAATTTCAGTTCTTGAATGACTTACTTAAAAATAATTTAGAGCTGATCTGAAGTTAATCCTATAAAATCTTAGATTCAATTATATTTTCATTTGAATTGTTGAACAGAGAAAGAGAGGAAGTTACAGCTATTGCTTTATGAGTTGCACATAGCCAATGGTTTAACTTATGTATACATTCCCAGGGGAATACATTGTACATCTTGCCTGTCAGCTGCTATAATGGCAGAAAAAAATTCAGAACTACTGTGCCAAATTATGTAAGTAATCATCCCCCTTGCTGCTTATATATGAAATTATTTATTGTATATTCATATTAAAATATACTTAAGGTTGGGTCTGTATCTGTTTTTTGTAAAGCCCCCAGCAATGCCTAAATACATGCTTATTATTATTCTTAGTGTTATTATCGAATTATGTACTACAGATGAATTTACTTTCAAGAAGAAATTAAGATGTTATTAAAAATTTATAGTAGAAATGATATCTCAAAATTTAGCAATGTTTACATTAAAATCAAATGATAGATTTAAAATATATTACAAATGCGTTGGAAAATATCGCTGAAAGAAATTATGCCAAATATTAACCAGAGGCTGGATAATGCTTCCCCTGCTTTTACTTTTCTACTTTTGTAAATTTTTCTCCAGTGAAAACCTGTTATGTTTATTTTTCCTGCCCAGTTTATTATTTAAAAAGGTACTTTTTATTATAAAAGAAGCATATATTCAGTATTTCATTTATACACAGCCATAAAAGATAAAAAGCAGATGATGTAAAGTTACTAACAAATAGTGAAGAACAAACCTTACCACAACACTGTAATGAAAGAACTGTCAAAACTAAAGGGCAACAAAGACATCTTCTGGACATCTTAAGAACTGCACAGTTATTTTCTAAACAGGATTTTTTTTATTTCCAGCTAAGTGCAATAGCTGTTTAAAAAACCACACATTAAGAAGTATAAAATTAATCTGGATTGGGCTTGAAATTTTAAATAATACACAATTAAATTAAAAACATACCTTTAAAGAAGAAAAGGTACAAAATTGTTGCATTCACATTGGAATTAGTTTCCAAAGTATATTTAAAACTATTTTCAGAAAGACGATAAAATACAAATAGTTTAGTAAAAATAATTTATTTTCACGCAAGGAACATATAAAATAGTACGAAAACTACATTCAATGTTGAGCCAATACTTGAAAAATCTAAATAGAATACTTCATGAATCATGGAGCCCATTAATATAAAAATGATGGGCAATTTAGTCATTAATTTAAAGAACTATATTTAATAAATAAGCAAATTCAAAACCATATTTGACTAATTTGTGATATATCCTATATATCCAATGCAATATTAAAAAAACATTATTTCCAGTGAAATATAATTATTAAGGGCCCAAATTTTAAATGAGTTCACTGAGTTTGAACATGTGTTCTCTTTAACCTAAAACTGATTGTTAAATGACATCACTATGGGCACAACTATTGTATATACAATAGTACTCTTTCATTCTTAGAGCATAAATGACTGGTTGCCCCCAGTTAGCCACCTTCAGGAAGTACTAGTGATGCCCCAAATTTGCATCTCTAAACAATTTTTAGGGCTGATACAGTTTCTAAGTATAATCCTGAAAACCTAGCAGTTCAACTAGCAAAACTCAACCTGCTTTAGTAATGGTTGTGTTTGCTAAGAAATGTATGCTTAGTTTTAGGTGATCCCAAATGAACATACACACTACAGATGAAAGCATGCTTATTTCCTACATTCAACTTTTCTAGTAACTTCATATGACAGGCCATACTAAAATTTTGTATCTAAATGCTATATAGTACTAAATATTTGAGTCATGGACTTTATGTTACTTGTATCTTTTCAAATTGTATGATATAAAAGTTTATGATTTTTCTAATGCAGAAATTCAAACGAATAAATAAGATAACCATAAAGAAAGTTTGAGAGAGGAGATGCTAAATAAAATTCACCAGGAGTGATAGAGATTATCCTCATATGGAACTGAAGTGCTGCGGTAACATAAGTAACATGATTATCTTTTTTTTTCACAGACACTGCTACCTTTTGTACAACTACTGAACACAAATAGGTTTCTTGGTGAATATTCATTTCTTTTTAGGCAGTTAGGTTACATTCGATTTGATCTTGGAAAGTGGCTGCCAGGAATTCTGTCAGAAATAAAATATGAGTCAAATAATGGTGACTTAATTTCTTAATGGGTCAGCTACCTTAAGGTAATCCATAGTGAATAATTTCTATATGTTATACATGTACAATTTCAGCTAGACAATGAAAATGATCCTGTTTCTGGCTATCTAAATCTTGGGTTTTCTTGAGGACTCAGGGGGACATGGCTGATAGAGCAGAGAAGTCAGTGTAGCAAATGCCAGGCCTCTGCTAGATGTGCTGCTGAGCAGGTCACTCTAATAGGTGAGCTGGAGGTTAGCTACAAAGAAACTGGGGACAGGTTCCAAGTGGAAATCTAGGCAGAGAGCTGTTGAGCAGCAGAGTAGATTCTAACAAGAAGCAGTAGATGCTTAGACATTGAGCTGGTCCAGACTAGAGGAAGAGCAAATGGGAACTAAGGAGAAGTTTGAAGTATTTACAAAATTCTTGGCCTTTGCAATTTCAGAAAGTTGAATTTATCCGTTGTTCAAAATGTAAGTGAGTTGCTTTGCACATTCAATGAACAGAAGTGACTTAGGAGAGAATGTATGTTCCCTCACATGAGTACTAGGTGAGCACTATTCTATTTTGATAGTCATTTCTAAGCCTTTATGAATTATGATTAAATATATTAGACTTGGGAAGGTTTGGTGAATGTGGGAGAAGCCTTATGCTATCTGACAGTTTTACCCAGCTCTCATTGTAAATATCTAATAGCATATAACCATACTTCCTCTTTTCATACATGACTAGCACATTTGGAGAATTTTTTTTTAATAATGAGAAATGATATTAAAACAGAGAATAGCTTTACCTTTCCTCATCTTGGTTGCTCTGGAACATTTGCGTTGTTGGAGGTGCCATATTCTGACGTGATAAAAGAGATGCAGAGAGATTTATCTCTCTGAGTTGCCGAAAAGCTATTTCTGCATGTATGCTTTGAGGACTATTTGTCAGAATTCCTGCATTCTTATTTTTTTTATCTGCAATTAGGAATTATGAAATGAGAAGCATTAAGTAATAAAGCTTGTCTTTCAGCAGAATATGTACTAAACATATTTCATAACATGAATTAAAAGTTTTAAATAGAAATACAGAATTGGAATATATTTCTAGCACTTAATGCTGCTACATTTCTCTGAGCTAGTGAATCAATTTGATCCTTTCTAGGTAATTTTTAAAAATAAAAATATCTAGAGCTGTATGCTATAATAAATGTACAGATAAAATGACTATACTTTTCAAAATAAAAATTGGGTAATATTATCATAAAATAAAAAAGAAACTATAGAATTCTTCTAGAAAATCCTAAAAAAGTCACATAATGAATCTTGAAGAGAGATATGTGAGAAGGAAATTAAGGAGCTGCAAAAAAAAAAAAAAAGGAAGATAATGATGTAATTCCTAAAGATGACATTGTACTGCTAAGGAAGCTAATAACAATTTGGTATGTCTAGTTTTACTGCTAGTTATATATACTGGGCAAAGCATAAAAAGTCTCACTATGATTAACAATTAAAACCTTGAAGACGTAAGTATGTAGAATAGAAATAAGTTAAAGAAAAAATAACACCATGACACATTAAATTATGGTTGGGTTCCTCTAAAAATAATCAAATAGAGCAAGCTACTATTCTTAGCAGGCTTTTAGGTCATTTTGTAATTATTGTGATGTTCCTTTTTATTGACTCTGAGGCAAAGTAGAATGTTAAAAGGAATGGAAGAGGTGAGCCCTCAGAGATGGAGTAGCTACCCCAATTTCACCAAAATGATAGGCAGTGAAAATCTGGAATTAAGGAAAAGGCTTGCTAAACCTGAATCAAAATGTGTACAATAGAATGAACCATTTGCATACCCTGTCCTTTTAATATACACCCTGTTTATAGCTCTACCTCTTGAAACTCTTCCTTAGTATAAGCTTTATGAATATTTCACTGTGGTTTCAAGGACAAAGTCTGATCTCCTTAGTAAGATATCCTTTATACCCCAGGAGTCTATTGTTAGCAGTATTTTAAAGCCTCTGATTTCTACTTTTAGCAGGATGTACTAACGAACTGGTTTAAGTAATGATATGCTATGAAATATACAAATTGATATACAAGCTTTGAAGAGAAGCCAGGAAATAATTGTGCAAGTTCAAATTAGGTACAAATGTTTAGTTACGACTTAATTAGTAGTTGAACAAAACTAAAAACACTAGACTCTGAAATCAGAATGGCCACATGAAACTTGAATAAAAATGCAATTTTAGGAAATATAAACTTAAAACATGCAATTTTAAGAAGTATTAGAAATCAAAATGAGATTTTTATTTCAAATGAAATGTTGTGGTTTTTTTTCCACTCTGAAACTTTCTCAAAATACCTTCAACCTCAGGAGTTAAAGTGAAGTCAGGTCCTGCATAATGGCTAAATCCACCAGGCAGAATTACATTTGTTATCTTTATGGGAGAAGCTTTCACTTGGCCAAATGATCCACCTTCTGTAGGAAAGTTGGTAACAGGAATACACTGCATAATAAAATAAAACTGTTAAGAAAATAGTGCCTCCAAAACTCAGATCAATACGTTTAGTCCTTACCATGAGCCCCACTTGATAACTTAAAATTTCGAGGTCAGGAGTAATGCTTGCCTAAAGTCAGAGTTGGTATGAGGCAAAAACTGTGAAGCTGTCTTTTGGGCCCTTAACCTCCCTCAGGACCTATGTTCTGTCTTTTTAGACTGCACTGTATTCATCACTAGAATCTTAGTGCGATGGCACCTTCCCCTTTCCAAAGGGTCTCAAGTATAGAATTAAGAAAATGAGAATTATGCCTTTTCCTCTTTGTAATTGCTTCTTTTTTTTCTGAATTGAATTTCTGGATAGTAAGAGTTATATCTTCTACATCTTTGTATTCCCCACATTATCTCATTATGTGCCTGGAAGTTAGTTTTCAAAAACAAGTATATGAAAAGGGGACTAAGGAAGCATCTTACAGCAATCACTTTTAATGAATGTGCTAACTCTCTAAATAGTGTTTACATTTTAACTTAGTTGAGGATTAAGAGTTGTTTAAAAGAATTTCAGGAATGATCAAATGGAGGAGAAAGACTGGAGATTCTTGGTTTTCCTGGAAATTTAATTTAGGCTGGAGACTTGGTTTCCCTAGAAATTTATGCCTACTTTGTCTTCATTGACTTGCTTTGTTTATTCTTTAAAAAATATGAATTCTGAATATATGATTCAATTTATTTAGTTAAAAATTGTGTAAAATTATATACTTGTATAAAATTACTTATTTCCTTCATACCAGTGTTACCAAGAATGCAGCTTTGTAATGAGCACAAGTCAGGCCTTTTACTAAAGCTGGTCAGTCCCAAATTCCCTAGCTAATTCCTTTGTGGGAATTTCTTTCCATCACTAATCTAGAATGTTGTTAAATTTCCTTCCGAAACTAAAGTACCAAAATATTCTGGTTTAAAGGGCAAATTTAGGTTTCATTTATTAATTAATCTGAAACAAGACAAAACAAAAAATACATTAAACTGAACTGATAAGTGTGAAAAGTATTCTGTTCTCACATTTCCTGCACAGCTAAAAGAAATAATGGCTTGATTAGTTTCTAGCCATGAAAATAAAAGTTATTGAATCTTAAAATAGATTTTTCTAAAAAAATGAAGACTTCAAATATTCTCTTTATTTTGCTGACCATGTATAGATGAATCAAAAATATTTTTTAAATAAAATGTTTATATATGGAATAAGTGGAAAGATAATTAAATTCTTATATATGGCTCTGATTCAAATGTCAAGACATCTAGAATCACTAAAGACATATCATATCATTACACTATGGGAAAAGTTTGAGTTCATTATATGAGAAATAGGAAAGAATAGACAACAAGCAATCCCTTTAGTGAAATACTCACCATTACCTAAATTTTGGGTTTATGTACTTCTGCTATATTAAACCAATTAAAATATACATGGAAATTGAGATCTTTATAGTTGTGATTTCTTTATATGTAATTTACATGTAACTTAAAAATTTTTGCCAGCATTACCATAACACAGAATTTATTATTTTAATTAATGTGACAATTTCTATTGGTCTCTCACTGGATCCCTTACATATGTGGTGTGGTTGGCAGAGCAATACCCCTGCTCCGTGAAAAAAGGTCCACATCTTTATCTCCCAAACCTGTGAATATTACCTTTCTGTGCAGGTATAATTAAGTTTAAGATTTTGAGATGGGGAGATGATACTGGATTTCCGAGGTGGGCCCGATACAATCACAAGGGGGTCTTGTAAGAGTCCGGCAGAGAGAAGACGTAGTGGTGGAAGCCGAGGGGAAAGTGGTGCCTCGCGGCAGGAGGCCGTGAGCCAGGTAAGGCAGACAGCCTCTAGGAGCTTGACCAAGCAAATAATGCGTTTCTCTCCTAGAGTTGCCACAAGGAATGCAGCTCTGCGAAACTTTTGATTTTAGCTCTGTGAGAATGACTTTCAGCCTTCTGACTCTAAAATTCTAAGATAATAAATTTGCATTGTTTCAAGCCATGAAATTCGAGGTAATTTGTTACAGCAGCAAGAGGAAACTGAAGTTTCCTTCAGTTTTCCACTCCTGGAAGCAAGAAGTGACTTGCAGCAGAAATACAAAGTAGAGAAAGGGAAAGGAGGCTTAAATTACTGAACCTAATTTTATGATTATTTGTTCTCTTCTGAAAGACAGGAGCTTGTGACATAATTTCAATAGATGACATTAGATGATGCCCTTTCTTAGTTATATCATAGAGATTAGTGATGTTAGAATTTTTTCACAAAGTATAGTTTTAAGAAAATTCTTGTAGGTAGAACCTTCCTTTGCCTAATCTAGATATAATCTTTATTAACATTGTACAGTTTTAATCCTCGTAGGTCTGTGTAGCTACTTTGACCTATAATAGGAGCTCCTTAACAAAAAAAGTCAAGGTTAATAAAAAAAGTCAAGGAATAATTAAGAATTAGGTGTATAATTCATATTTATCTTTTTATCTTTTTTAAACATGCAAAACATAAAAGTACATGCAGTCACCAATCTTTTGATGAAGGGCCAAGACCTTTTCTATAATGGTCCTTTGATTGGTATTTTATCTGATAATTTTTAGATAAATCCACCTTAAGGTTTTGCCTATAATTTCCAGTTTTTGTTTCTTTAAAGTATCAAGAATTTAAAGATGTGGAGAAAATCTGAATGCAACAATCTGTTGAAATTTTTAAAAATAATTTCCTACATATTTTGTGTTAATTTTTATAATTTTCTCCTTTATTTTATAGGATTTTTTCCACCCAATCTAATTTGATAGTTTATGTTTGTGTGTGTGAGAATGATTTTATCTAGACTTTCCAAAGTATCCCATTTGGTTTTCACAGTAACACAGACTAAAATTTGTACTTATAATGCATTTATTTAAAATAAAATACCTGACGTAACACATTTTTGAAAAAACACAACCCACTCTTGATAAGTATGTGAATCTACTGCTGAAGGCAGGAGTGTCCTAGAGAGGAGCCCAGTAATACTAAACGGTCAGCATGCTCTGGGAGTCGGTTCTACAGAGGGAACAGAATGTCAGGCAAACAAATGAGTTCGTGTGAAAGCAACTCCAGTAGTCTTATCTTTTTCCTCTTCAATATAACTTTTAAAAGTAATCTTTGGTCACTAATTGCTGTCTGGCTTTCACTTAGACTAGAGTAGAGGTTCACTTACATTCTCACTGCCCATCTCTAAGCAAAGTCTTCATTATCTCTCTCCTGAATTATTCTAAAAGCCTCTGAACCAGTTTCCCTGCCTCTAAAGCCTTTTCTTTCTCAATCCTTGCAAAGTCACAGCTCTACTAATGTTACTCCTTTCTTCAAAATCCATAGCTTTTCTGGGGTGAATTTAGTCCTTGGAGGATGGTCATGAAGAATCTTGGTGTTCAAGGACAGAATTTCCTAATAATATGTTTTTGTGGCTTCTTTTTCTAACCTCTCTCCTATCATGGTCAGATACCTTTTTAGGGTTCATGGATAAAAGGTGCAATTGTTCTGCCAATATACAAGAAAAGAGGTGTGCATCTCCCTTCTTAGATAAACTACACAGTCCAGAGAGCTGAGGTCAGAATTCATTTCTTTCCTTCTTAGCTGCTATGTTGAAAGAGTTTTATTGTTAGTTTCTGTTTATGAAAGTGATATAATTTCTTACTTTCTGGTATTATCTAACATATTTATAAGTGATATTGTGATATCGTTTCTCACCTTCTAGTGTTATCTGATATATTGAGCAAGAGGCACACAGATTTAAAATAATTTGCTTTATGTCAAAGTACATTATTAGATTAAGGAGCTTCCCTGGCATGTGTGTGTGTGTGTGTGTGTGTGTGTGTGTGTGTGTGTGTGTGTGTGTGCGCGTGCGCACAAATGCTCTATTCACCAGAGCAAGCTGCTTTTGATAGTAATCACCAGTAGATATTAAAATAATTAACGAAAACATCATAGCTCAGGTTTAAACATATAAGTAAAGAGGTACAAGATATAATGTTCATTTATTAATAATTTAGAATTTTAAAAGGAAAAACAGAAATAATTATTACCGAATTTTTCTTTGCTTGTAATTCAGAGAAGTAAATTTCAGCTTTTGCCTTATCATCTGAATTCACAGGAATTTCATCTAACATTTGTAAGTTAGGTAGTTTAAATATGAGCACATGGCGATGTAGCATTTTTCTACAAATCTGAAAAAAGTTTAAAATAACAATTTATTCCTTTAAAAAAACCTTTGATTTCAAAGTTAACCTTTAAAGAGAAGGAAATTTAGCATAGGCAGCAAAGATGACAGATAACAGCTAATTTGTAGTATGAGATGATATGAATATGAGCTCCCTTTCTGAAAGATTTAATTCCCTGTTACACTAAATGAAGATAAAAAATTTTTTTTAAACCAAGGCTACCATTTGAGATTTGGTCTCTTTTGGAGTAAATAATATTCATATAAACTGAACATATAATGAATATACAATATTCACTAACTATAGGCATGTAGTTAATCCCAATTCATGAATAGGATTATGTTATAGAAGTTCACTTATAAGTAGTTTGAAACTTATATTTTCACATAGACATGACCCAATTTAATTAAATATACATCTGTTGAACTGTATGATCCATCACTTCATAAGTCAACCTACTGTAAAAAAATATTTGCATGTGAGCATAAGAAGCTGTGTAGAAAGAGTTAACATAGTAGGTGGAAGCTATTATCTTTGGAAGATTCTGCTTGCAAGGATTCATCTTGACTAGTGTTTCGTACTTGGACTTTGGAAACATTCCCACCATTCCTTAACTGATAAGGGTAGTTCACTATGCTTAGACTACTTATACAAACAAATGATTTATGCTCAACCTGCTTTCCTTCTGGGAGTCTGGGATTTAGTACATGATAGGCATTGGGTACCCAGGTGACTAGACCCCAACAAAATTCTTGAATGCTAAGTCCAGTGGGAGTCCCTGAGCAGAAACAACATACATGCTGCTGCATTTTCATTGCTGGGTGAAGTGTACCCTGTATAACCCCTCATGGGAGAGAAAGAACATAAGGAAGCCTGTACATAGATTCCTCCAGACTCTGCCTGTATCTTTTCCTCTCACCACCGGGCTGTGTATCCTCACTATGTCACTATAATAAATCTTAGCCTGAGTACAAGTATATGCTAAGTCCCATGACTGCTTCCAGCAAATCTCTGAATGTGGAGGAGATCTTGGGTACTGATAACACAGAAAAAGTGTGCAGCGTGGTTTGGGACAGCAAAAACAAAACAATCATCAAGAGGGAATGAAGAAATCTATTTTTTGAAAAGTGTAGTAGATACATATTATTAATGGAGTGAGATCCCTAAAACACATAATTGAGTATAAAAAAAAATTTGACCACACTCTAGGTCATAAAGCAAGTTTGATAAATACAAACGAATGTGTAAATAGACTATGTCCTCTGACTAAAATGAAGTAACATTAGAAATAAATGATAAAGATATAACCAAAAACACTTCATAGGTTTGTAATTCACACACACAAGAAGAAATCTTTTGGAAAGCAGATTTTAAGAAAAAAAGAACAGGAAAACCATTACATGTCAAAACTTTTGGCATGATGATAAAGCAGTATTTTATAACCTAAAACTTATTCATTTAGAAAAAATATTAAAAATTAATAAATGAACTAAACATCCTACTTAAGAATTTTTTGGACTAAATTCCAAGAAACTAACAGAAGGAAATAACAACGGGTGGAAATTAATGAAATAAAAAAAGATACACTTGATAAAACCAAAGTATGGTTCATTGAAGAGATTAAAACAATATACAAATTTTTAGAAAGACTTACCAAGAATAAAAGAAAAATAACAAAAATCAGTGAATTTAGATATAAGAAAGGTGACAAAACAGAGATATAGTGGAGATTTTAAAAATACATTTAAAATTTAAATGGGTTGCAAATAAGGGCAATTTTATAGAAAAATATGACTTCTCAATTTTGACTTTTGAGAAATAGAAAACATGGCTACATTTATAGCCATTAAAGAATTTGAATACATAGTTTAAAATATAATTTCAAAAAATATTAAGCCCAGATGGTTTTAGAGATAAGATCTGATTATCTTTCAAGGAACATGAACGTTCTTATAAACTAATTCTAAAACTAGAAAAAGGAGATTAATTTTATGAGACAAGAGCAACCTTGATGAACTTGAAAACAATAGTGTAAGAAGATAAAATTATAGGATAATTTTAATTTTACGTATTTCCATAGATACAGATATCCTACATGAAATCTCTGCAAATTGAATCTAGAAAGTATAAAATATGTCTACATAGTATTCATCCTAGGAATTTAATGATGTTTTAATACTAGAGTCTATTTACATATTAATATATTAAAGAAAAAAAACTATATTATTAATTAGTCAAAATTTGGTGTGCCCCATGATACAAACAGGTGGTAAACTGGAATTAGAAAGAACTTCCTTAAAATGTTGAAGGTTTTCTACCCATAACCTATAGCAAACATCATATTTAATAGTGATAACTTAGAAGCATTCTTCTGAGTCAGTAACTTGCTATTAGTGCTTCTATTCAACACTGTACTAGCGTTCCTAATCAGCCCAGTAAGAGAAGTAAAGAAAATAAAAAACATAAAGATTGGAAAGAAATAATAGTCATTATTTGAAGATAATATGATAGTCTACAAAGAAAAGCCAACAAAATTTACAATCCATAAGAACTGAAAAGAGAGCAAAATTTCTGGACAAAGAGGAATACACAAAAATCAGAATTTCTAAACTCCAGCACCATACCATTAGAAAAATGTAAAACAATATTGTTTAAAAGAGCTATTAGAACAGAATAAAGTTAACCAAAGATGATTAAAACCTGTAGGAGTAAATTATAAATCTCTATTGAAGGAAACAAAATAAATATAAGGATATTTGTGTTTATGGATGGAAAAGCTGAATATTATAAATATTAGGGGAGACTGCTTATTATTATTTTTCTTTCATGGTGGAAATAGCTCTATGATGTGGCACGAATGGGCTCTTTCAACCCCTTCAATGCTGCACTAGGGGAAACAGAATGATTTAACTGACTAATCTGGGAAAATTGAACTGGGCATGTTTAGCTCCTGTCTTCCATCCGGGAAAGAGCTTATTACAAGAATGCCTTCTCCTCCTCCAGGCAAGTTCTCCTCCCATGTGGAAAGGTCTCACTGAAGTATTTCCTGTTACTGGGTGATCACGACTTGTCTGTTTCTGGGCCATTTAACTTTCTCACCAAGCTAAGCAAAATATTTTTGCCTCTCCATTTGCCACTGTCATATTTCTCAATTTGTTCAGATGTTAGGTGAATAAGGGTACTACTTATTTGATTCCTTCAAAGACTTCAACAGGAAAGGTGGCAAATTCTCCCCAAAATTAATTTATAAATTCAATGCAATTTTAATTAAAATATTTACAAAATATCTTCCACATAACTTGAGAAGTTGTTTCCTAAAACTCATAGGAAGTGTAAAGGACCAAGAACAGCCAAGACAAGGAAGAAAGAAAAAGAGGAAAAGGTGGAAGAGAAGGAAAATTAAAGGTGCTTTTACTCTACCAGACATGAGGACTTAATATAAAACTTTAGTAATCCACACAATGTAATATTGGCACAGGGATTGACAAATAAGTAAATGGATACATTGTAGAACCCTGAAACAGACCCTCTTACATATGACAATGACAGCTTTTATAGTAATCAGTTGGAAGACACTTGTCAATAAATTGTGCTTGGATAACTGTCTATGCATATGGAAACAGATACAATGAAATCTGTTCTCACATTATATAAAAATAAATATATACAACTATAAGTAAATTGACAATAAATTAGAAAAGTAACATACTCACTGGATTGCCATAAACTGTAAGCTCTCTAAGAGAAGGGATACCATCAAGTTTTTCCAGCTCTGCTATATCCTATTCAAGAGTTAATCAATAAATTATTATTTGGTTAGATACAATATCTTCAAATATACACTGAGTTCAAGTAATTATTTGTAAGGGTTGGACTGCAGTTAGCTCATGATTGAATCTTGTGAAGTGAGCTTGAGTGAAAACATTCTGTATCAAGACAGATCTGTGTACCATTGATTTTAAATGTGTGATTAGCAAAGATGATCTTCTAACATGGGAAATAGGGCATACAGCAGCACTGGCAAGAGAAGGCCAAATTTTTCTGAGGAAAGTTATGATCTGGGACTCAGAATATATTTAGTTAATTCCCCAGATGTTTTACTCACAAGTGTGGAAAAGAAGGTGAATCCAGCCTGAACAATTTCAAAGGTATACATTAAACACAAGCTTAACTATAAAAGAGCATGTGATATTGAGGGAATGCATCCTGATATATTTGCTGGGAATATACATAGTTGAAAAATGATTTCCCTAGCTGAATGACTTGCCTTCCACACTGGATGTAATTATTTATTATTACCTATTTAACATTGGTGAAACGTTACAAATACATTTTAGTTTTTGCCAAGTTTCCTAAAATGCTATGTCTGACAAAATTTTGACAACAAGCTCAGTTTAAGATTGTTGCTAGTTCATAGTAATAAAGCAAATTTATTGATAAGCTCTGTTATTTGGAATGATGAATGGACTTATCCAATTCATCTAGTAACTATAAAAAATTTAGACCTATTTTAGGTCATTTGAGAGTGTAATTTGGTTTTTAAAATGACTGATATTACTATTTTGATTTTGGAAGTATCATAAGGGAGGACTTTGAAAATTCTGACAGGTCAGTTATCTATAGAGATATTGTGTATATGACACACTGGCAGTTCCTACCTGTGAAACCAAAATCTGACTGGAAGTATAGAAATATGAAAAGTCTTACATTTTTTCAATTATAACAGTGTTCATTAGTGAAGTATTTCTAACCAAAATGTTTGTTTCCCATGGAATATGTTAATGAGAAACAGAGTATTAAATTTATAGAGGACAGTACTTGTATAATAAGACATCAAGGTAATTAATGTTCGTAATTGGGGGAAGAGAGCTGATGTGTTCCCATTTTTAATATAGGGTATTTTTTACAGTGATGTATTAGAAGTTAGTTTATACTGACTCACAAAAGTCAATTGGTAGATTTTCAGGAATTTTTTGAGATGGTGTTTTAATTTGAAATTGGCTATGGTAGAAGAAATTACACCATGGAAATTGGCAAATGCTACTGATTAGGGCTTTTTTCCCCTGGAGAGCCAGCTGCTAAACATTAACCAGCACACCAATGGTTGTTAACCTTTTGAGTACTTTATCAGGGTAAGTGCTTATGGCAATTATGTGTAGGCCTGGATAGGGACCTTTCATTTAGGGCAAGAAATAGCAATGGCCTATTTCCAGCAGTCATTTCCAGCCTCAGGTGATTACTAAGATGTTTAAAAGTAGAGACAGTTGGAAGCCAGACAGGGTAATCATTTAGATACAGGGACCAAACAGGACTATAAAGCCAATCTAATAACTCATTTCAGTTGTGTCTGTGATTCTTCTTGCAGAAGCAAGACTACAGGCAACAGTGTTCTAAATCTAAATTATGGGTCATGAGGGCTAAGTCAAAACCTTCACGCTGAAATCTGTTATCTAGGATATGCAGCTTATGAAAGACTTTAAAGTAAGTTAATGATGGACAGCATATACCTTCATTTGAAGCACTGTGGTTTTACTAATTTTTCAATGCCTTCTCCCTCCTGTCCTGTAAATCTATCAATCCAAGGGTTATAATCTGATTGCCCAGGTCTGGAAATTAATGCTGCTGTTAGCCTACCCATGTTGGTATGACTCTAGAGAGAAAATCTCTCCCCAGAGGGAAATTTGAATGGAGAGTTAAGAATTTTAAAAAGCAGTATTTTCAGTAGAATTAAACAGAATCTCCAACTTAACCTTGTTATTCCTCTCAGTTTGCTTTTTCCAGCTAAATGTATGGTCATATTAAGGTATCATATTGGTGGTTAGAATAAATAGAATATCAGCTGATCTGCTATTTGTTCACCTCCTTTAGGGACTAGTGGAGTGGGAAGGTGGAACAGGAACCCTCTTGGGGAAAAGCATTTTTCTGGTTTAATTTCCTTATAAGTACGATGGTAAGTAGATGGCCTGTCAAATGGACCAATGGTATTTCCTAGGAAGAAGGTCCTTATTTATGAGCTGCCCTTAGTAGGATCTCCCTGGTTAAGGACTGCTTATAATAAATAAATAAACCTAGAATCTATAGAATTATCAAGCATGTCTTCCTATAAAATGTCATGTAAGCTCAAGTATAAACTGGAGGTATTTCATAAATGAAATGCTCCCTTGTTGTATGAGATCATCACCTCCCACAAAAGTATCACTTTTGGAGATCTTATATTTTTTATCTTAAGCTAAGTAGTGTGTGGGTGAGATGTCGAAAGAAAGGACCTGAGAAGACCTAGGAATGTCCCATTCCCTGTGTATCCTTAATATTATAAGTAAAGTTTGATACTGGGTAAGAGCTCTGATTCATGTAAATCTAATTTGACAGTCTTTTGTGTCAGCTCAGTTGCTGTCAATGGAAACATTTCCCATAGGACAGCAATTTTTCTAATTTAGGTTTCCTCTGGATAAAGCTTTGGAAGAAACATGATCAGTTTTGTCAGGCTTTTCTCAGATGAATATCTGAGCCTTGATAAATTAATTATATGTCATTTTTCTCTGTGTGTGTATTTCCTAGTTGCTACATAGAAAAGGGCACTGCTCATGATTTCCTCTAGTCTTGAACAAGCTTTTATATCACCCCAAAAAAGGCTTCCTGAACTCTAGCAAGTACAGCCACAAATACTGATTGTGAATCTACTGTGGACCAGGTGCTATACAAATGTGGGCAAGACAGACTTGGTCCCTTCACCTGGGGGGCATTCCACACTTCAGTTGGTCTTCGAGGTCATCTTAGAGGTATGGGCAGAAGTAGTTAAACTGGTAAAAAGAGGGCCAACAGATGATCATTTGAGAGAAATGTTAGGGCTATTTATGTATACTTTTTTTTTTTTTTACAATTAACTAAAGACTTTATCTGAATTTTGCCAGTTTGAAACTTTTTTAGATTCTGAAGTCATAATTAGCTAATCTGATATTTGGTACAATAAGCTTATAATAAGAGATTTAAGGTCTTCCATATAAATGCATGCATTTTGTGCATTTTTTTTTGGTATCATTAATCTACAATTACCTCAGGAACATTATGTTTACTAGACTCCCCCCATCACCACGTTCCCCCCACATACCCCATTACAGTCACTGTCCATCAGCATAGTAAGATGTTGTAGAATCACTACTTGTCTTCTCTGTGTTGTACACCCCTCCCTTTGCCCCCCACCACATTATACATGCTAATCATAATGCCCCCTTCCTCCCCCC